TTAGAGCTCAGTGCGCGAATTAGCGAGGCGGTCTTCAAACTGCTTGAGGTTCACATTCCACATTCTGGATGTTCCTAAGGACCATGTGTCCATTGTGTTCCAGGACGAACCCAGGAGGTTTTCCAACACATTGTTTTCACTTTTGTGTCTACGGGGCTTATAAGAAACCCTAAACCACAAAAAATGAAACCCCTCCAAACCCTGTGTTGCAGTCCCCTTTAAGAGTTGCGGGTGGATTTGCTTGAGATCTGCATCTTCGACGGTTGAGCGCTCGCGGCTGCCTCTTGCTTGAGCACTCTGGGACGGGTCTCTGGCAGGGCTGCACTCGGCGGATTGTCTGGAGGCGTGCTCCCCGATCTCCAAAGGGCAGGGGCCCAAACCCTACAATTCAAAATTTGAAACCTTAAGCCCTAAGCCCTAAACCCTAAAGCCTAAACCCCACCATTTCCCAAAACGTAAACTGCTGGACCCCAGATTCCGAAACCTGAGATCCCAAACCCCGGAGATCCTGAATTGTAAACGCGAGCTGCCAAGTCTACGGCTAATGTTACACTGTTTGAGTCAATAGTTTCAGAAGAAACAATATAGCGAAATATACTATGATAGACAATACTATAAGAACGACTATACAGTATAGTATCATATAGTTGGGCCTATGTACTGCAATAGACCCCAGCCCGTATTCCGACTGTCCCAAAACGTCTGAGCCCAGCCACACAGTTCCGCTGGGTTCCCCTTACCCAGAGAGCCCAATACCCCTTAAAAAAGGATTAGAGCTTAAATCATAATATGAAGCCCCTTATAATTTAATCGATATTCCTTATTTAAGGTGCATTCGGCTCTCTGGGTATATAGCTGCGATGCCAAACCCCCTCGACTCAAACCTAATCACTTAGTCGTCTATACTACAGTTACCACCTGTCAGTGCCTTCAGAGGCCCTCTGCTTTATGAGAGATTTTCGGGTTTAGTATAGGGGCCTCAAGAATTACGTAGAGTAATTAGGGGGTGCCTCAGTATATGACCCCAAAACCCTGTCCTAATCATTAAGGCCCCTATATTATATCCTTATAGAACCCTTATAATTCTATAATAACCCTTATGGTGACCCTTTAAAAGGAACCCTATTCTAATTATTAAGGCCCCTAGATTAGGGTTTTAAGGTTTAGGGTCTAGGGTAGTAGCGGGAAGTGTGGAGGATCTCTGGTCCCTTTTTAACCGGGTCATTATGATAAGGATCCTGCTATGTGCTATGTAATGTTAGGGTTTAGGGTTTAGGGGCTTAGGGGTTTAGGGGATTAGGGGTTTAGGGTTTAGTGTTTTAGGGTCTAGGGTTGTAGGGTTTAGAGTGTCTTATAAACGGAAATTCTCATACTCAGCATGAAGTACTCAGTGCAGCTTACACTATAGCAGTGGCCATATTCTTTGGCATTCTTACTCTGTGAATTCTGGAAACATCATGATCTATTGCGTCGTCATAACTTGCCAAGTCTCAGTACGCAAAAAGGGGTTCTGCCTTATCGCCGGGTTACCCCTTTGCTAGGCCCGACCCAGAGAGCCCAATACCCCTTGAATACGGACTATAGCTTAAATCATAATATGAAGCCCCTAAACCCTAAACCCTAAACCCTAAAGCTATATTCCTTATTTAAGGTGTATTGGGCTCTGTGGGTAAACCTTGGGCCGACATCTACGCTGAAAGAGCCTGGGTCCAAGGCCCAAAGCATGTCGCAGCATCTTTCAACCAAAGCCCAAAGCAAGCTAAACCCTACCTCTTAAGCCCGAAGCCACAACTTCTAAACCCTAAACCCGGAACCCTAAACCCCAACTGCTAAACCTTTAATCCCAAAACCCTCCCGAAGGGAGCAGCCTCTCGGGCAGAGTTTTTTTGACTCCACGGAAAATTCTTTGGACAAAGCGCCTTTGGGGGTAGGCTGCGCCCGCGCAGGCGAGAGCCACTTGCAACACGATTCTAGAAGTTCAGGGTTCAGGGTTTAATATAGGGGCCTAGATAATTACCTATATTATTTTGGGGGTTCCTTATTAAAGTTATAGCAAAATGTGCCCCAAAACCCTATTCTAATTATTAATGCCTCTGGGTTTAGGGTTTAAAGCAAGTATGGATGCACAGTTAATGTCTACGGTTCGATTCAGAACCCTGGAGCCACTTACGAAGAAGTTCTAGAAGTATGGCCCTAAACCCTAAACCCCAAGCCCTAGTGAATGTCTACGGTTCGGTTTAGAAGCCGAGAATGAATCCTCCAGAACTGCTCGCACGGGCTGGCTGCAGCTACCTCAATGTTAATGTATGTTAATGTTGTCTTGCGGATGATGCCTTGGAAGAGGTTAGCATCCAACAGTTTCACGCACAAGAGACTCGACCACAAGCTCATCTTCAACAGAAGTCAGCTTGAAAAGCTGGCAGGGGGACGCCGTAAGCCCTTATTAGGCTTAAGAGGGTCTTATTTACGAATCTGTTTCAGAGGGTTTGCAGAACCAACCCAGTAATAATCAGAATCGGGCTTTGGGGCACAAAATCGCATGATGGACATGGGAACCCGCGGGAAGGGTACTCATGATGATTCGAGCTGCTACATTATATCCTAAACCCTAAACCCTAAACCCTGAATATCCGAAAGCCTGCCGGTTTAGGGTTTAGCCTTCAGGGTTTAGGGTTTAGGGTCTAGCATTTGGGGTCTGGGGCTGGGGTTTTATGGTTTAGGGTGTAGGGTTTTAGGTGATGAGATGTGAGCTTAGCGGATAGGGTTCAGGCTTCAGATTAGGCTTCGGGGTTTCAGGGCTTTTTAACCAAACTTCGGTTTAGATTTGGAGGTCTTGAGGGTCTGGCGGTTTTGGCATAGGCCTGGCGCAAAGGAAAAATCTAGCTTAGAGTGCAGGATGCACGGACGTTTTGACTGTCCGCCTGCGGCTACCAAGCACCGCAGCACTCCGGAGGGCTTTGCTTCCTCCTATAACGGTTTGGGATTTAGGGTTTATAGTTTATAAATCCACCTGCCCCGAAACTCCAGGGGACCAAGTCCATTAGACCCTTGTGCGCCACTCCCCAAACCCTGCACCTCAAACCCGCAAACCCAAACCCGAGATCCCTAAACAAACTGGGGACCCTAAACCCCTAAACCCCTAAACCCCCTAAACCCTAAAACCCCTAAACCCCGTAAACCCCGTAAACCCCGTAAACCCCGTAAACCCCGTAAACCCCGCAAACCCCTAAACCCCTAAACCCCTAAGCCTCCGAGACCGGGGAACCTGGGATTCGGTCCAAGCATTGCGGCGGCAAGACCCATCATTTGGAGGATCATCGGATTTAGTAAGTAAGGTTATAAGTCCCCTAATTCGGGTTTATAAGTATAGTTACCTTAGTTATAACCCTACTTACTAAGTCCCATGATCCCTAAACCCTAAACCCTAAACCCTATAAACCCTAAGTCCCATGATTCTTTAAGCAGAGGTGATCGCAGCGGCATGGCCCAAGTCGTAGTCTGCATCACAGGTCCAAGGTTGCGCTAGGGAGTTGGGTCTAGGGTTTAGGGGGCTCAGGGTTTTAGGGTGTAGCGTTTAGGGTTTTAGGGTTTTAGGGTTTTAGGGTTTTAGGGTTTTAGGGTTTAGGGTTTAGGCGGGTTCAGTGTTTTAGGATTATTGGGGGAGTTTGGAGTGATCAGGCTTGATCCACACACAGTTGATATGTCGGGCACCGCTCTTCAAAGAAGATGACAGAAACCATCCAGCGACTGATTCCAAGTAACTAATTATCCTAAAACTAGAGCCACCATAATTAAAGCCTCTCCATATGCAATTCGTTAGCACTATACTCACAAATGTAAGGCAGCAACGCCTCTTTACATAACGGCACTCGCGGCTGCTGCCTGGATCTTTAGCCGGACATCATCTTCCCAGGACAGGCGGGGCCAGGAATCAGCGGTTTAGGATTTAGGGTTTAGGGTTTAGGGTAGAGTTCCACAAGGGATAGCAAGAGCGAGTTGTAAAGGGTCTGCGGCTATGCAAGACGTATTTTCGGGTCGCGCAACCATGTATATGTGCACGTATTTACACGTGTGTATATATATATATATATATATACACATGTATGTGTATATACATATATACACATTTATGTGTACATCTACGGCGTTTGCACAGGAAAGCAATCCTTATTGATTTCGGCTTGAAAAGGCTGCCTACGCTTGTGGACTTGCTCTGTTCGATGGGGAGAGAGAGCAAGCAAGAGAGAGACAGAGAGAGAGAGAGAGAGAGAGAGCCAGAGCGAGAGCGTCAGCGAGAGCGAGAGCGAGAGCGAGAGCGAGAGAGAAAGAGAGAGAAAGAGAGAGAAAGAGAGAGAAAGAGAGAGAAAGAGAGAGAAAGAGAGAGAAGAGAGAAAGAGGGAGGGGTTGAGTAAACCTAAACCCTGAACCCAAAACCGATAGATAGAGAGAGAATAAGAGAAAGGGAGAGAGAGGGAGCCATTGTCCGTGCTGCAGGGTCTTCAGGTCAAGTGTCCATGTTCAACAGGTCCCACCCAGCGTATACTGTAGGTTTAGATCAAGGGCTGTTAGCGTTTAGAGTTGGGGGTTTACGGGCTAGTGCGCCTCTTCCCGTGCATGGCAAACACTTTCCAACAGTAGCATCTCCAAGCTCCCAAGGGATATGTTCGTTGATAAATCATCGCCTTTGTCCTGGTTGATGTACGCAGTTTCAACTACAGACGTTCTCAGTAGGAAGATTGAACTGGCTTCCTCAGGCGAGTCTTCGTATGTCTTCATTGACTCTACCTCGTCGATCCCGGCACAAGGAAGAGCGAAACGTCAGTGAAACCAAAGGCGCAGCCACCACTTCGTTTGAGCCCTGGGGTTACGATTGGATTTAGGGTTGGGGCGTAGGTTTAGGACTTTAGCGTCTAGTTGCCTGGACGACCCAGCCCAACGTTCCACTTTTAGTACCGCTATGCTCTACAGACTCTACAGTTTGGGACAAACGCAGGGCCTCAATGCCTGGGCGCTTTCCGCCCTCCTGGGGGGATGAGGCCGCCAGTGCCGCAGCACCGCCGGGGCACCTGGAGGGAAGGGAGGGGTGTTGTGAGATTGAAGGGCTTGCAGATGAACAATACCAACAGGCAAATGCACGGATGCATGCAATGTAGATATGTATGCATGCATGTACGTATGTATGTATGTATGTATGTATGTATGTATGTACGTAGGTATGTATTTATGTATGTATGTATTTATTTATGTACGTACGTATGTATGTATGTATGTATGTATGTATGTATGTATGCATGTAGGTATGCATATATGTAGGTATGTCTGCAGGAACGTATGTATGTATATGTTTAGGTATAGGCATAGTTTAGACTATAGACTATGCATAGGTATAGTGGCCTGATAGCTATATTTGTGTCGATCTGCCAGGCTTGTATCGGTCTGCTTCTTCTTCTCAATCTGTCTGTGTCGGCTGCGTAATTTCCTGCGTGCTGTGTGTATATATATACATATAAAACCAAATGGGCAAATTAATAAGCGAACCCACATAGATAAACAATCAGAAATACAGAACATAGGAATATACACACATGCCTGTGGGTGAATAACCATTAAGGAAAGCAGGGGCACAAAGGGTCTCGCTCACACACGTGATAATGATGATCCTGATTGTGATGATGATGATGATGGTGGTGGTGGTGGTGGTGATGATGACGATGATGATGGTGATGATGATGATGCACTGCTTAGTACACTAGTGTGCTGATGCTTGAAACTTTCTGTTTATTATCAAGTGGTTTAGGGTGCTCAGGTTTCCGGCTTCCTTGACTCCGGTCAAGGCCCAAACAGGCTCCAGGCGTGCATGATGAGCATGTAGCCGAAGCTCTATAACCTTTCAGTGGCAACAATGGCAGTAGAAGCTCTAAGGGACAACGCTAACCTCCAAGCCCTCAACGGTTTAGGGTTAAGGGTTTAGGGTTTAGGGAACCCTAAACCCTGAACCATCAGCCCGAGCTTCCTTGATGGAGACAGTTGGAAAAATCCCTCAATCCTAAACCCCAAACCCTGAACCCTAAACTCTTGCCAACGGCATGACATGAGAGGAGATGTGTGGGCGCTCGGCGAGGAGAGCTGTGAGTTTTCTGGCCTGAGAAAGTCGAAAGCCCATGGCCCACCTGGGGATTTGGGGTTTTCTACTTGGGTAGTTCTCTAGATTAGGGTCCCTTTTAGGGTCCTGTTGGGTGCCGCCTCCTTTTGGCTTCCTAAACCGAGACCCTGATTCAGAGAACTACCCAATTTACTTACAGTGAAGATACTGCCTGGGGATGTCGGGAATTAGTAACATGAGGAGCCCGAACTCATAGTGCGAAGTGGAACGATTCTGGGGCTACGGCATGGATCACGGAAGAGCAACCAGCAGTCTGATAACGACACTAGTCATGACTAGTGTGGCAAAGGTAGATATGTGATCATACCAGGAATCTCGAAGATCGCGTTTGGGCATGGTCGTCTAAGCCACGAGAGTTCTTGCCGTCTTCATATCCAATCAGCTTTCTCCGGCTGTGCCTTATCCGTTATGCTTAACACCCTTCGGAAAAGGTTACTGAGACCATCTAGATTTAAGGCTTTAGTAGGCAGCGCGGCAGCAACAGTCTTAGGTAGCAGAGGTAGCAGCAATGGCAACATAAAAGAACAGCCGGAGTATTTCACACGCAGCAGAATTAGAGACAAAGAAGCCCGACGCATAAATATCACAGCGACAGTCGGGATCACGCCTTGGTATATCTGAAGTGCACCGTAGACGTCAATTTAACCTGAGCCCTAAACCCTAAACCCTAAACCCTAAACCCGCCTAAACCCTAAACCCTAAACCCTAAACCCTAAACCCTAAACCCTTGAGCCCTAAGCCCTCTTTGACCACAGGAGTTGCTGCGGTTAACGAGACGTTGCTGCCAACGGTGCTAAGCAGGTGCGGTTTGGGTTTAGGGTTTAGGGTTTAGGGTTTAAGGTTTTGGGTTTCTTCTTGTACCAATCTGATGGGTTTATTGGGCTTAGGGTTTAGAGTTCGGAATGCTTAAGGTTTAGCGGCCTAGTGTTGACGGATGAGGTTTAGGGTGTCGAGGCTTCGATTTTGGCTTGATCGTCGTGAGCCTGGTACTTGTTGCCAAGAATTAACTCTAAACCCTAAACCCTAAACCCTGCAGATTGTGCTTGTGTAGTCTCTCGGATTCGTTCGGCTGTCAAGGTTGCATAGAGGCCACTGGGAGGGGCAATAGATGACAGGCGTTCGGTGGCTGCTGGTTGTGTTCCGGGGCATCGAATATAGGGACCTAAATAGCTACCAAAACTATTGTGGGGGTGGGCCCCAAAACCTTGTGTTCTAACTCTTAAGGCCCCTACATTGTAGAACCCTTATAATTTTGATAATAACCGTTATCGTAACCCTTTAGAGGAAAGCTATTGTAATTATTAAGGCCCCTACATCAAGCCCGTCGCTAAACCCCACGCCCCTTCGCCTTCGACTCTCCCAGCTCCCTGCGGCAGGTCCTCCCCCCCTAATCTTGGAAATTTCGGAGAACAAGAGGTGCCTTATGTTGGGCTCTTACAATAAGGATCCACAATTGAGGGTACTATAAGAGGATCCCCTCTTTTCGGAAGCCCGCATTTTGGGCTTACATGTTTCATGGGAGCCTGGGGCATCTAGGGCTCTAAGCTTTATGTCGATGCAAAGATAGTCGGCTTGCAAGCTAGATCCCGAGAGGGTTGAGGGTTGACGGTTCAGGGTATGACTGGCTTGAGGCACCTTGATGTCCTGGCTGAACTGCCCAGAAAGAACCTTGGATCCTAAACCCTAAACCCTAAACCCAAAACCCTAAACCCTAAACCCTAAACCCAAAACCCAAAACCCTAAACCCTAAACCCTAAACCCTAAACCCTGGATCCTAAACCCCAAACCAAGTACCGAGCCAAGGGCCTAAAGGCCCTGCGCCCCAAAAGCACCGAGCCCGAACCCTCGACCCGAGATTTAGGGTTTCGGGTTTAGGGTTTAGGGATGATTATCCCCCCAGCTACTTAGTCAGGGAATTAGGGCTTAGGGTTCAGGGGATTTTGGTCTAGGGGCTCTAGTTAAGACCCATGCCCCACCCATGCCCCATCTGTAAAGGAAGACTTAAAGGGACCCTTCAAGCACACGACCCGAGCTCCCTAAACCCTAAACCCTAAACCCTAAAGCCATCACAAAAAGGCGAGCTGCTGCGGACTTCCTGGGAGCTGTGCACCAGGTCTGATAGTTACTACAACTATCATAATGAATCAATTTAGGGTTTCGGGTTTAGGGTTTAGGGTTTAGGGCCATTGAACCTGATGTTTGTCACTAATGTGAGTATTGTTATAATGTGTACTATGATTACGATTATGGTTTATGAATACTATGGTAATGAGGATTATAGCTATGAATTATGATGATTGTCAAGATCATTATGTCTACTGTGTTTGTTATGATGATTACAAGACTATTGTGACTGTTGTGACCATAGAGTTTATCACGAGCACCGTTGTGATTATGATTACTCTGATTACCGAATGCTGCTATTTTGTTCATTCTTGTGTGATCATTATGAACTTGTGTCAAGTTCATGATGGAATTGAATTTGTCAAGAATGACTGTCATGATGACTTCGGGAGGAGGAGGGGTTTATGTTCTCGGGCTTGGAGGTAGCAACCACCACCACCGCCGCCGCCACCGCCGCCACCACCACCAGAACCACCACCAGAACCACCACCAGAACCACCACCAGAACCACCACCGCCACCACCACCAACACTGAAGCTGCTGCTGCTCCTTCTACCCTGAATTCTGATTCAGCCTTTATGCCCGCTTCTTAGCACTTCGTGCTGCGCTTCAGGTTCCAGGTCGTGAACTTTATCCCGCAGACCCCAGGGTCTTAGAACGAGAGCCTTCGAATGCTAAAACTTGTGTGTGACCGACACTTGTAGCAACCCTCACAGTGGTCGTTATGGTGACGCTCATGGGGGTCCTTAGAGATCCCTCATCGTGATCCTGATAGTAGCCCTTGTATTCTTCCGCGCCTGCTGCCTTGTAGTTGGGCAGGACCTCTGCCCGCGCTCCCGTGCGAGTGCCTTTGCTGAGGCGGAGCCTGTAGGGGTTGAGGATTTTATGGTTTAGGCTTAGGCTTCGGGGTTGAAATGCAATGCAGGCTGGGGTCGCACGTAGAACCATGCATTATATTGAACTTGTGCATATGCATATAAATAGACATGCAAGCGAGAATATGGAATGCTGCTGCTGCTGCTGATGATGATGATGATGATCGTTTGTACTTTCAGAAGAGAGAGAGGGAGAGAGAGAGAGAGAGAGAGAGCGAGAGAGCGCGAGCGCGAGCGCGAGCGAGAGATGGGCAGAGACGGGGCAGATGTTGCACCTTAAACCGTAAGCCTCAACCCTTTCGGGTTCACAGGTAGGCTCTGGGTTTCGGGTTTAGTAAGCGGCCTCTTCAGTTCTGGCATAGTGACAGTGTGACTATAGTAGTCTGGCAGAGGGATTACAAGACGATATCGTTAACTGTACTCAGACCTCCACGGTCCTCAGACCTCCACGGTCGGTTGTGGCTTGAGGGTTTCGAGGTTGCAGGGTTTAGCCCTGGTGCACCAACTCCAATACAGGACCCTAAACCCCGAACCCTAAACCCTGAACCCGAAACCCGAACCTCTAAACCCTCAACCCCTAAACCCTAAACCCCTTAACCCTAAACCCCTTAACGCTAAACCCTAAACCCTGAACCCTAAACCCTTCATGCCTCATGGCTCTTCCGGGCTTAGGTCAAGGCCTCGGGGGCCTGGGATACACGCCGTAACATCAGCTCAAAAAAGGGGCCGCAAAAATTACCTATATTATTGTGGGGTTGAGGGTTTAGGTTTTAGGGGCCTCAATAATTACCTATATCATTTTGGGGGTTCCTTATTATAATTATAGTACAGAAGGACCCCCAAACCCTATTCCAATTAAAAAGGCCCCTATATTGGCGGTTTCGGGGTTCAGGCTCCCTGCATGGCAGGTTTCGGGTTTAGGGTTTGAGGTTTGTG